ATCAAGTTGTAAGTCTTTATGTCATATAGTGCAAGCAGTCTGGTAGCAGGCACATCAAGTTGTAAGTCTTTATGTCATATAGTGCAAGCAGTCTGGTAGCAGGCACATCAAGTTGTTAGTATTTATGTCATATAGTGCAAGCAGTCTGGTGGCAGGCACATCAAGTTGTTAGTCTTTATGTCATATAGTGCAAGCAGTCTGGTAGCAGGCACATCAAGTTGTAAGTATTTATGTCATATAGTGCAAGCAGTCTGGTAGCAGGCACATCAAGTTGTTAGTATTTATGTCATATAGTGCAAGCAGTCTGGTAGCAGGCACATCAAGTTGTTAGTATTTATGTCATATAGTGCAAGCAGTCTGGTAGCAGGCACATCAAGTTGTAAGTCTTTATGTCATATAGTGCAAGCAGTCTGGTGGCAGGCACATCAAGTTGTTAGTCTTTATGTCATATAGTGCAAGCAGTCTGGTAGCAGGCACATCAAGTTGTTAGTCTTTATGTCATATAGTGCAAGCAGTCTGGTAGCAGGCACATCAAGTTGTTAGTATTTATGTCATATAGTGCAAGCAGTCTGGTAGCAGAGACATCAAGTTGTTAGTCTTTATGTCATATAGTGCAAGCAGTCTGGTGGCAGGCACATCAAGTTGTTAGTCTTTATGTCATATAGTGCAAGCAGTCTGGTAGCAGGCACATCAAGTTGTAAGTCTTTATGTCATATATTGCAAGCAGTGTGGTGGCAGGCACATCAAGTTGTAAGTCTTTATGTCATATAGTGCAAGCAGTCTGGTAGCAGGCACATCAAGTTGTAAGTCTTTATGTCATATAGTGCAAGCAGTCTGGTAGCAGGCTCATCAAGTTGTTAGTCTTTATGTCATATAGTGCAAGCAGTCTGGTGGCAGGCACATCAAGTTGTTAGTATTTATGTCATATAGTGCAAGCAGTCTGGTAGCAGATCAGGCATCACGTTGTTAGTCTTTATGTCATATAGTGCAAGCAGTCTGGTAGCAGGCACATCAAGTTGTTAGTATTTATGTCATATAGTGCAAGCAGTCTGGTAGCAGGCACATCAAGTTGTAAGTCTTTATGTCATATAGTGCAAGCAGTCTGGTAGCAGGCACATCAAGTTGTAAGTCTTTATGTCATATAGTGCAAGCAGTCTGGTAGCAGGCACATCAAGTTGTAAGTCTTTATGTCATATAGTACAAGAATTCTGGTAGCAGGCACATCAAGTTGTAAGTCTTTATGTCATATAGTGCAAGCAGTCTGGTGGCAGGCTCGTCAAGTTGTTAGTCTTTATGTCATATAGTGCAAGCAGTCTGGTAGCAGGCACATCAAGTTGTAAGTCTTTATGTCATATAGTGCAAGCAGTCTCGTAGCAGGCACATCAAGTTGTAAGTCTTTATGTCATATAGTACAAGCAGTCTGGTAGCAAGCACATCAAGTTGTAAGTCTTTATGTCATATAGTGCAAGCAGTCTTGTGGCAGGAACATCAAGTTGTTTGTATTTATGTCATATAGTGCAAGCAGTCTGGTGGCAGGCACATCAAGTTGTTAGTCTTTATGTCATATAGTGCAAGCAGTCTGGTAGCAGGCGCATCAAGTTGTAAGTCTTTATGTCATAAAGTGCAAGCAGTCTGGTAGCAGATCAGGCATCAAGTTGTAAGTATTTATGTCATATAGTGCAAGCAGTCTGGTAGCAGGCGCATCAAGTTGTAAGTCTTTATGTCATATAGTGCAAGCAGTCTGGTAGCAGGCACATCAAGTTGTTAGTATTTATGTCATATAGTGCAAGCAGTCTGGTAGCAGGCACATCAAGTTGTAAGTCTTTATGTCATATAGTGCAAGCAGTCTGGTAGCAGGCACATCAAGTTGTAAGTCTTTATGTCATATAGTGCAAGCAGTCTGGTAGCAGGCACATCAAGTTGTAAGTCTTTATGTCATATAGTGCAAGCAGTCTGGTAGCAGGCACATCAAGTTGTAAGTCTTTATGTCATATAGTGCAAGCAGTCTGGTAGCAGGCACATCAAGTTGTTAGTATTTATGTCATATAGTGCAAGCAGTCTGGTAGCAGGCACATCAAGTTGTAAGTCTTTATGTCATATAGTGCAAGCAGTCTAGTAGCAGGCTCATCAAGTTGTTAGTCTTTATGTCATATAGTGCAAGCAGTCTGGTGGCAGGCACATCAAGTTGTTAGTATTTATGTCATATAGTGCAAGCAGTCTGGTAGCAGATCAGGCATCAAGTTGTTAGTCTTTATGTCATATAGTGCAAGCAGTCTGGTAGCAGGCAGATCAAGTTGTTAGTATTTATGTCATATAGTGCAAGCAGTCTGGTAGCAGGCACATCAAGTTGTAAGTCTTTATGTCATATAGTGCAAGCAGTCTGGTAGCAGGCACATCAAGTTGTAAGTCTTTATGTCATATAGTGCAAGCAGTCTGGTAGCAGGCACATCAAGTTGTTAGTATTTATGTCATATAGTGCAAGCAGTCTGGTAGCAGGCACATCAAGTTGTTAGTATTTATGTCATATAGTGCAAGCAGTGTGGTAGCAGGCACATCAAGTTGTTAGTATTTATGTCATATAGTGCAAGCAGTCTGGTAGCAGGCACATCAAGTTGTAAGTCTTTATGTCATATAGTGCAAGCAGTCTGGTGGCAGGCACATCAAGTTGTAAGTCTTTATGTCATATAGTGCAAGCAGTCTGGTAGCAGGCACATCAAGTTGTTAGTATTTATGTCATATAGTGCAAGCAGTCTGGTAGCAGGCACATCAAGTTGTTAGTCTTTATGTCATATAGTGCAAGCAGTCTGGTAGCAGGCACATCAAGTTGTTAGTCTTTATGTCATATAGTGCAAGCAGTCTGGTAGCAGGCACATCAAGTTGTAAGTATTTATGTCATATAGTGCAAGCAGTCTGGTAGCAGGCACATCAAGTTGTTAGTCTTTATGTCATATAGTGCAAGCAGTCTGGTGGCAGGCACATCAAGTTGTTAGTATTTATGTCATATAGTGCAAGCAGTCTGGTAGCAGGCACATCAAGTTGTTAGTATTTATGTCATATAGTGCAAGCAGTCTGGTAGCAGGCACATCAAGTTGTTAGTCTTTATGTCATATAGTGCAAGCAGTCTGGTGGCAGGAACATCAAGTTGTTAGTCTTTATGTCATATAGTGCAAGCAGTCTGGTAGCAGGCGCATCAAGTTGTTAGTATTTATGTCATATAGTGCAAGCAGTCTGGTAGCAGGCACATCAAGTTGTAAGTCTTTATGTCATATAGTGCAAGCAGTCTGGTAGCAGGCACATCAAGTTGTAAGTCTTTATGTCATATAGTGCAAGCAGTCTGGTAGCAGGCACATCAAGTTGTAAGTCTTTATGTCATATAGTGCAAGCAGTCTGGTAGCAGGCACATCAAGTTGTTAGTATTTATGTCATATAGTGCAAGCAGTCTGGTAGCAGGCACATCAAGTTGTTAGTCTTTATGTCATATAGTGCAAGCAGTCTGGTAGCAGGCACATCAAGTTGTTAGTATTTATGTCATATAGTGCAAGCAGTCTGGTAGCAGGCACATCAAGTTGTTAGTATTTATGTCATATAGTGCAAGCAGTCTGGTAGCAGGCACATCAAGTTGTAAGTCTTTATGTCATATAGTGCAAGCAGTCTTGTGGCAGGCACATCAAGTTGTTAGTCTTTATGTCATATAGTGCAAGCAGTCTGGTAGCAGGCACATCAAGTTGTTAGTCTTTATGTCATATAGTGCAAGCAGTCTGGTAGCAGGCACATCAAGTTGTTAGTATTTATGTCATATAGTGCAAGCAGTCTGGTAGCAGAGACATCAAGTTGTTAGTCTTTATGTCATATAGTGCAAGCAGTCTGGTGGCAGGCACATCAAGTTGTTAGTCTTTATGTCATATAGTGCAAGCAGTCTGGTAGCAGGCACATCAAGTTGTAAGTCTTTATGTCATATATTGCAAGCAGTGTGGTGGCAGGCACATCAAGTTGTAAGTCTTTATGTCATATAGTGCAAGCAGTCTGGTAGCAGGCACATCAAGTTGTAAGTCTTTATGTCATATAGTGCAAGCAGTCTGGTAGCAGGCACATCAAGTTGTTAGTCTTTATGTCATATAGTGCAAGCAGTCTGGTGGCAGGCACATCAAGTTGTAAGTCTTTATGTCATATAGTGCAAGCAGTCTGGTAGCAGGCACATCAAGTTGTAAGTCTTTATGTCTTACATAACCACTGGTGAGATTGTGAGCCAGGCAAAATCAAATCTGTACAGGATCTCTGAGGTCACTTTACCATGACTCTAACTATTCCGATATTGGTTTCAGTATGATATGTTGACATACATTAAATTCAAACAAAAATTTGGTTTTAGAAAAGGCTACCATATTTGCTGTAAAAGCGCCCTGGGTGCTTAAACAGTTGACAAGAGGTAAAATGTATTAAGACCCTACAGCACAAGTTTCTTTTTAGAGATCAAGTGGTAGTGAACAAACTCAGTTTAAACGTCGATGAAACCAAAAGTTACTGGGCAGTTATGTACCATTTCTGCTGTTTTAAGTAACACAATCTGAAAACAAGACAATTGTCACATACATTTTCAGTCTTAGGGCTACTTACATACTGGTCTAGAAGTTGGTCAGAGGGTGCTTATTGGAACAGGGAGCAGGGAACAGGGATCCCAGTACAGTTGGTGAAGTTTGATGTTCAGCCTTTTCATCATGGATAATGATCTCTTCCATGACAGTGGAAACTGCTATTAGATTTGTATCTGGAAAACATTTCACGACACATATTCTGAACTTAATAGAGATTTTGTGCGTACAAACTTAATAGAGATTTTGTGCGTACACAAGCCAAATAACATTGTCAGCCAAGTGTGTCCATTACATGGGAGTTGCAGCTGACCAGCTGATGGCTACACTACATGCCCACAGGGAGCAGAGGCAGAGTCCTGATGGCTATATGTGTTGCCCAAACTGTTATGTATGTTCATGTACTTGCAGGTTACTATGGTGATGGTCTGAATGCAATAATCCTGTTTTCTGGTTGCTACCTCCCTGATCGCCGCCGCAAGGATTACAACTATGTCATGGATAACCTTTTCTAGTGAGTGCAGCGTCATCTTTCTTAGAAATGAATTTCACATTGTGATGGTTTACTAGAGTATGATCACTTTGAACCATGCAAGTTAAAATCGTGTTAAAAACAAACTCATTGTTAAACAACAAGAGTTACTTTTATTAATTTAACATCAGAAATTACTTTCTATTTTTCACCCAACCTTCACCCCAAAGAAGTTACCAAATATGTACCACTTATATATATTGATGTATGACATCACAACCAGTGATCGAATCTTACAAACTGGTGTGTCCACTCACATCAGTATTTGTGGGATTGTACGTGTGGACTTTTGTTGATTCAGGGATCATACATACATAAATGTGCCATGTTAGTAGTCAGAAACATTCTAACAATCAGCATATTGTTATTTGGTGTTATGTTTTTCATTGTAACCAAGAGAACTAGTCAGAAATGAAGATAAAAATCATTGTCATAGGTGATTTTGCCTCAGTCGTACAATCACGCAGGACAGAAACTTTGACAATTTCTGTTGAATAACCAAATTGTTGTAATGTATCTTTTTTCTAATTCCCTAATTCTTGCTATGATACACCTCCCCTGCATGTATCTCTCAAAATACGAGAAAATGCTAAACAGTGTAATGTCTGAATTTTGCTTTGTTTACATTTCACACAAGTGCGGTTTTCCTTGCATAGCGTGCGTTTTCACACCGAATATATTTTGCTTGAGTTCATGTGGACACTTTGTATTGGTCGCAAAGACCATTTGTCATTTTATTCTAAAATGTATGAGCAATTTAGGGATCTATGTATTGCAGCTGAGTTTTAAAAATATCTGATGTAATAGGCGTCTCATAACCGGTATACTTGAACGCATTTTGTAAACACTGTCCAATATGGCAGAAAGTTACTTCAACGATTGTGTAGAGTTATCAACAACATTTCACTTTGATCATTGGTGATTTGATTAAAGAAAAAAACATTTACCGAAGATCACCGATATGGTATTTTTGAAATTCTGTTCTTTGAGTAAATATCAAATATTTTTATTTCAAAACATACACTATATTACACCGTGATTTAGCAATATGTGAAAAGGGGTGACATTTACGCCGTTCCTAATTTTCAGAGGTCATTTACAGTAATTTTGCTTTGCCTAAAATGGGAGGGATGATATTACAGAATTGAAAACCTCAAAGAGTCTTTGTGTGCAGCATGTATTTTGAATTGTATCCAACTTCAAAGTAAGAGTAGAACAGGAGGGACATATTTGTTCCTGTGGCATCCAGGGGGTAATGCAAATATGTAAATAAGTGTTTAATGAAACCTTAAGTGAAAAAGAAACTTTTATTTATTGTCCGATGTTGCAGATCCTCATGATCAATATTGCAGCTGAATCATGGGGTCTGTAAATAATCGAGTCTGGACCAGACAATCAAGTGATTGACATCATGAGTATCTATCTATGCAATTGGGATATGATGACATGCATCATCCCATTCGACGAGCCTGACCACCTGATCCTGTTAGTTGCCTCTTACAGCAAGCATGGGTTGCCAGTTGGCGATCATGGAACTTCTCCTTTTTCCAATCATTTCCCTTGATGATAGAACAATTTCATGAAAAACGTTGCCAGCGGGATTAAAACCCTGTGAAGTCAGCAACTAAGGCGAATGAATGTAGCCTTCTGCCACAACGACATGGAAGAAATTATATGAAATTAACAACTAAATATTTACTTACATCAGGACTTATTGTTTATCTGTTTATGTACTGTGAAGTATATGTTTTATGCGCCTTTTGTACAGTATGGATTGTAGTATTTGTGCATATTTGTGATTTAAACAAATCAAACAGATGAGAACCTTCTTCAGGGCTATGCATGCTCAACATGGGCAAGTAATGTAACGCAATTTGATAAATTTGCTTGAGTTTATCCAAACATGAATGGTTTACTTGCCCCAGGACATACATTTCATAACCCGAGTCGGCAAAGTGCGAGGTGCACATGCGAAACACTCGGGGAATAAAGATCACGTGCATCACGAAGGAGCATCACGAAGTGTTCTCACAGTTAAGCATAGAGTTCCTGAATAGCTTTCAAAAGCTCCGCTTCAGTGAGTCACTGAGCTATCACTTACGTTTTGAGTCACATGAGAATACTTCATTGTAATACACGCTTCAAGTCCTTCAGAGAGATTGACCCCACCCTCTGCCCCCATGCCTTGTATGGCAGTCAAAGTGGTACCCAGTGTGACAGGTGACAGGAGACAGGAGAAGAGGCAGTGACATTTGTCCATATGTATAACTCATATGTGTTGTGTCTTTGTATTGTATGTTTCAGCTACGTGGTGCACACTCTTGAGCAGCTTGTTGCGGAGGACTACATGATAGTGTACTTTCACGGAGCCACGCCACGCAGGCAGATGCCCAGCCTCTCTTGGCTCAAGAAATGTTACCAGATGATTGACAGAAGGTACTGTTGTCAACTATCTCGTCCATCCGTGTGCCACTGGAGTAGTTTACCATACTCACTCACAGAGGACACACACCTCCATCTGTGCCATTCCCTCACAGAGGACACATACCTCCATCTATGCCATTCACTCACAGAGGACACATACCTCTATCTGTGCCATTCACTCACAGAGGACACACAACTCCATCTGTGCCATTCACTCACAGAGGACACACACCTCCATCTGTGCCATTCACTAACAGAGGACACATACCTCCATCTGTGCCATTCCCTCACAGAGGACACATACCTCCATCTGTGCCATTCACTCACAGAGGACACATACCTCCATCTGTGCCATTCACTCACAGAGGACACATACCTCCATCTGTGCCATTCACTAACAGAGGACACACACCTCCATCTGTGCCATTCACTAACAGAGGACACATACCTCCATCTGTGCCATTCCCTCACAGAGGACACACACCTCCATCTGTGCCATTCACTCACAGAGGACACATATCTCCATCTGTGCCATTAACACACAAAGGACACACAACTCCATCTGTGCCTTTCCCTCACAGAGGACACACACCTCGATCTGTGCCATTCACTCAGAGAGGACACACACCTCCATCTGTGCCATTCACTCACAGAGGACACATACCTCCATCTGTGCCATTCACTAACAGAGGACACATACCTCCATCTGTGCCATTCCCTCACAGAGGACACACACCTCCATCTGTTTCATTCACTCACAGAGGACACATATCTCCATCTGTGCCATTCACTCACAGAGGACACACAACTCCATCTGTGCCATTCACTCACAGAGGATACACACCTCCATCTGTGCCATTCACTCACAGAGGACACACAACTCCATCTGTGCCATTCACTCACAGAGGATACACACCTCCATCTGTGCCATTCACTCACAGAGGACACACACCTCCATCTGTGCCATTCACTCACAGAGGACACACACCTCCATCTGTGCCATTCACTCACAGATGACATACAACTCCATCTGTGCCATTCACTCACAGAGGACACACAACTCCATCTGTGCCATTCACTCACAGAGGATACACACCTCCATCTGTGCCATTCACTCACAGAGGACACACACCTCCATCTGTGCCATTCACTCACAGATGACACACAACTCCATCTGTGCCATTCACTCACAGAGGACACACACACATTGTATGATATATATGAAAGCCTGATTTTGGGGTGAATAGTGAGGAAGATGGGTATAAGTCAAGTCAGTGTGCGTGTTTGTCTATGAGTTAGATGCACAGCCATCTGTTTGTATTCTCCCTTTGTCCACAGGTTAAGGAAGAACCTCAAGGCCTTGCTCCTAGTTCATCCTACACTGTGGCTGAAAACAGTTGTCATGATGACAAAACCTTTCATCAGGTATTAAAAAAAAACCAAGACAGCAACAAACTGTTCAGTGCATACATTTAATCATATCCAGAAAAGGTGGATATTGGTTTCTAGTATGCTTTCCTTGAACTTATTGAGGTCTTGTATGTTGTCATTGTTTGTCTGGAGTTGTTTTGGAATAATTGGAGCCATTTGTACCTCAACAAGCCGGCATGTCAAAACATGGTCATCTTCTTATCTTTGCAGTGTTCTAACATAGTTGATACTTTTAATTAGTCATCAGTCTGTGTGATTAGTAAGTGTATGGCAGCTTAATATTTGTGTGATATGCTTTTTCTGTATTCATGACTTAACTGATCAAAGACTATTTTTGTTCCATGACTTGGTTATATTATATGCATTGTAGCAAAGAACATGTCTGACAAATTTATCTGCAAGGGCATGTAGTTCTTATTGGCAAATATTGTCCAGGATCAAACGCCCAGGCCCAAGTCTGCTTTGTTAAATTATTAACAGCTCAACTATTCCGCCAAGTCAGGCCTAGCTAGCAAGGGTAGATATCTAGATACTGGTGGTTATAATGTTTAAGCCTCATCTTTAGCAGTGAATTGTGTTGGGGTTTTAACATATACTATTGTATTTGACCAAAGTGACATGTGGTTGTTTCCAGCTCCAAGTTTACATCCAAGCTCCGCTTTGTGAGGACTTTGCAAGAGCTGTCTCAGCTGCTGCCCATGGACCATGTCTATGTGCCGGACCAGGTGCAGAGGTAATGCATCTTTACAAGGAAACTTTTAATGGAGAAAAAGAGACTTACCAATCGTAAATGTGTATATAACATTGTCTACTAACAGTTTTAGATAATATAGGAAATGCAGCTTATTCACACAATAATAAAAATTAGTTCATATGCTCAAAACATATGATGAAATAATCACATACATCTTTCTTGTTGTGAAAGTCCCATGGTATCCTTCTACATGTTCATGCATCCCTCTATACCAGGTGACTTCGGGAAGAACCACAGAATATATGAAGGGCAAGTAAACTCAACATAGCAAACACATGAAGGGCAAGTAGACACAACACAGCAAAACACATGAAGGGCAAGTAAACACAAAACAGGAAACACATGAATAGCAAGTAAACACAACACAACAAACACATGATGGGCAAGTAAACACAACACAGCAAAACACATGAAAGGCAAGTAAACACAAAACAGGAAACACATGAATAGCAAGTAAACACAACACAGCAAAACACATGAAAGGCAAGTAAACACAACACAGCAAAACACATGAAAGGCAAGTAAACACAAAACAGGAAACACCCGAAGGGCAAGTAAACACAACACAGCAAAACACATGAAAGGCAAGTAAACACAACACAGGAAACACATGAATAGCAAGTAAACACAACACATCAAAACACATGAAGGGCAAGTAAACACAAAACAACAAACACATGAAGGGCAAGTAAACACAACACATCAAAACACATGAAGGGCAAGTAGACACAACACAGCAAAACACATGAAGGGCAAGTAAACACAACACAGCAAAACACATGAAAGGCAAGTAAACACAAAACAGGAAACACATGAATAGCAAGTAAACACAACACAGCAAAACACATGAAAGGCAAGTAAACACAACACAACAAACACATGAAGGGCAAGTAAACACAAAACAGGAAACACATGAAGGGCAAGTAAACACAACACAGCAAACACATGAAGGGCAAGTAGACACAACACAGCAAAACACATGAAGGGCAAGTAAACACCAAACAGGAAACACATGAATAGCAAGTAAACACAACACAACAAACACATGATGGGCAAGTAAACACAACACAGCAAAACACATGAAAGGCAAGTAAACAGAAAACACATGAATAGCAAGTAAACACAACACAGCAAAACACATGAAAGGTAAGTAAACACAACACAGGAACACATGAATAGCAAGTAAACACAACACAACAAACACATGAATGTCAAGTAAACACAACACAACAAACACATGAAGGGCAAGTTAACACAACACAGGAAACACATGAATGGCAAGTAAACACAACACAGCAAAACACATGAATGGCAAGTAAACACAACACAACAAACACATGAATAGCAAGTAGACACAACATAGCAAAACACATGAAAGGCAAGTAAACACAAGACAGGAAACACATGAATAGCAAGTACACACAACATAGCAAAACACATGAAAGGCAAGTAAACACAAGACAGGAAACACATGAATGGCAAGTAAACACAACACAACAAACACATGAATAGCAAGTAAACACAACACAACAAACACATGAATAGCAAGTAAACACAACACAACAAACACATGAATAGCAAGTAAACACAACACAGGAAACACATGAATAGCAAGTAAACACAACACAACAAACACATGAATAGCAAGTAAACACAACACAGCAAAACACATGAATAGCAAGTAAACACAACACAGGAAACACATGAAGAGCACGTAAACACAACACAGGAAACACATGAATGGCAAGTAAACACAACTTAGCAAAAAACATGAAGGGCAAGTAAACACAACTGCAAAACAGATGAAGGGCAAGTAAACACAACAAAGCAAAACACATGAAGGGCAAGTAAACACAACAAAGCAAAACACATGAAAGGCAAGTAAACGCAACACAGGAAACACATGAATGGCAAGTAAACAACAGGAAAACACATGAGGGGCAAGTAAACACAACAGAAAAACACATGAAGGGCAAGTAAACGCAACACAGCAAAACACATGAAGGGCAAGTAAACAACAGCAAAATACATGAGGGGCAAGTAAACACAACACAACAAAACATGAAGGGCAAGTAAACACAACACAGCAAAACACATGAGTGGCAAGTAAACACAACAGAAAAACACATGAAGGGCAAGTAAACACAACAGAAAAACACATGAATGGCAAGTAAACACAACACAGCAAAACACATGAATAGCAAGTAAACACAACACAGGAAACACATGAATGGCAAGTAAAAATACACAACAAACACCTGAAGGGCAAGTAAACACAACACAACAAAAACATGAAAAGCAAGTAAACACAACATAGCAAAACACATGAAGAGCACGTAAACACAACACAGGAAACACATGAATGGCAAGTAAACACAACATAGCAAAACACATGAAGGGCAAGTAAACACTACACAGGAAACACATGAAAGGCAAGTAAACACAACACAGGAAACACATGAATAGCAAGTAAACACAACACAACAAACACATGAATAGCAAGTAAACACAACACAGGAAACACATGAAGAGCACGTAAACACAACACAGGAAACACATGAATGGCAAGTAAACACAACTTAGCAAAAAACATGAAGGGCAAGTAAACACAACTGCAAAACAGATGAAGGGCAAGTAAACACAACAAAGCAAAACACATGAAGGGCAAGTAAACACAACAAAGCAAAACACATGAAAGGCAAGTAAACGCAACACAGGAAACACATGAATGGCAAGTAAACAACAGGAAAACACATGAGGGGCAAGTAAACACAACAGAAAAACACATGAAGGGCAAGTAAACGCAACACAGCCAAACACATGAAGGGCAAGTAAACAACAGCAAAATACATGAGGGGCAAGTAAACACAACACAAATAAACATGAAGGGCAAGTAAACACAACACAGCAAAACACATGAGTGGCAAGTAAACACAACAGAAAAACACATGAAGGGCAAGTAAACACAAGAGAAAAACACATGAAGGGCACGTAGACACAACGCAGCAAACACATGAAGGGCAAGTAAACACAACAGAAAAACACATGAAGGGCAAGTAAACACAACACAACAAACACATGAAGGGCAAGTCAACACAAGAGAAAAACACATGAAGGGCAAGTCAACACAAGAGAAAAACACATGAATAGCAAGTAAACACAACACAGCAAAACACATGAAGGGCAAGTAAACACAACACAGCAAAACACATGAATAGCAAGTAAACACAACACAGCAAAACACATGAAGGGCAAGTAAACACAAGAGAAAAACACATGAAGGGCAAGTAAACAACAGCAAAACACATGAGAGGCAAGTAAACACATCATAGCAAAACACATGAGAGGCAAGTAAACACATCATAGCAAAACACATGAGAGGCAAGTAAACACATCATTGGAAAACACATGAGAGGCAAGTAAACACATCATAGCAAAACACATGAAGGGCAAGTAAATACATCACAGCAAAACCCATGAAGGGCAAGTAAACACAACAGGAAAACACATGAAGGGCAAGTAAACAGAACAGCAAAACACATGAGTGACAAGTAAACACAACAGGAAAACACATGAAGGGCAAGTAAACACAACACAGAAAAACACATGAAGGGCAAGTAAACACAAGAGAAAAACACATGAAGGGCAAGTAAACACAACATAACAAAACACATGAGTGGCAAGTAAACACAACAGAAAAACACATGAAGGGCAAGTAAACACAACAGAAAAACACATGAAGGGCAAGTAAACACAACACAGAAAAACATATGAAGGGCAAGTAAACACAAGAGAAAAACACATGAAGGGCAAGTAAACACAAGAGAAAAACACATGAGTGGCAAGTAAACACAAGAGAAAAACACATGAAGGGCAAGTAAACACAACACTCGGGAGTGAGTTTAGTATTTTGTTCATTATTTGCTGTTTATAACCTTTTACAGTCTCAATCGATCGAACAATGGGAATTCCCAATGTCATGAACTTGGTCAAGCTTGTGAATATTTTACTGTCATATGCAAAGAGGCAAATATTGATGCAATCTGCATCATAAAATAATCTACCCGGTAATTGATAATATCCACAACTGCAAACATGTTAAAACCTATTAATGTGATACCATACAGTGTATACAAACATGTTACAATAGACTGCGACATAATTTGTGAAATGTTGTTGCAATTAAGTTACACGAGAAACAATGCCCTGTGATGTCAGCCTAGCGATAGGGTTGTTGGGTTGACAGAGATCTATCATCATGTAATGTCATTGATGTTGAGAGTTTTCAATATTTATTGAGAAACTAGTTCTGGTAGTACATATCTTCAACATTCTCATGGTTTAAGCATTTGCTCCTTTTGCCAAGGATCAGAGTTTGATTACTCACATGGGTAGAATGTGTGTGTAGTGTATTCTCCTTATAGTTGTTTACATCTTGTGTGATACAGTTTCCCGCAATATCCAAGTACACATTATCTCGTTACATCATATGATGACGTCATGTACGGATGCGATGTCTGAGTAAACTATGATGGCTTCCTTCCATGTTCTGTTTGGCATGCACACGAGCAGGCATACACCCGAGTATAAATGTGTGAATACACGACAGTGTGAAGCCCATTTTCTGGTCTCCCCTGCCATGATATTGCAGGAATATTGCTAAAAGCAGTGTAAAATCATACTCACTCACTCACTCACTCACTCACTCACTCACTCACTCACTCAACAGGCAAGTAAAAATATTATTTCTTTATTGCAATAACTCTATGTTTATGTGGATTTATGAATTGAATATGAGTAAGTATCGAAATCTTACCTCTGTTGATATTTACTCTGATCATCTACATGAATGCTGTGTTTGTATTGGATGCGTCTCTCTCCCCCACAGCTTCGATGCCAGCCTCCACAGCAGACCCACCTTGTCCACTCCCTCCACCCCCACCTCAGACCCTACCTCCCCTCATTGAGCTCGCAGCAGAACAGGTAGGTACACCTCATGTTCTCGGCATGGCTCCGTCACTCTGCCCATCACTCACCTCACATCTGCTTCATACTTTCACTTGGTTGCTGACACAGTTTCTTTTTTAAACTGCAGTGTGTAATTAATGTGCGGAGGGGTATCATATATAGTTCTTCACCTTTGAACCTGTAGGTATTATTGAGGACATACTCAGTACTAACATAATAGTAGTAGGTCATTCTGAAGACCATATCCTCAAAATAACATTAATAACGTAGTAAGTTGTTACCCTTTGTGAATGAAACTTAAGGCTATGCCTCAAACTGAAGAAGATATTCACTGTCCTAGGGCAAGGTGACTGTAGTTATTGTTCCCAGACTGAGTAGTAAGCATCTTCCTTGGCCCTGTTCTACAAAGTGATCTTAGCGCTGAAACAGTTGCAACTGCTAAGATTACTCTGAATACCCTACCTCTATGACATCACAGCCATAAATTCCCTACTTTGGCTGTCATCGCACCATAACATCTTTCAACAGATTCTACTTCATGGCCAAATATCCTTTGATTAGTTTTGAGGAAAACCCAATCTTCAGGCCAATGCAACTGCGCATGTTCAAGGCGGGAATACATCACTTCTTTCTTCTGTGTGTGCTGAAGTGAACATCAAAATAAATGTGCACAAATTATGGAAATGTTGTCACACTGTAACTTGTACATCGTTGTTCAAGACATCATACAGACATCAGATGCTTGCTGTACCTCTGCGAGTATTGAAGATTGTGTACTTACGTAAATAGGTAGTTAGTTCATGGTATTGTGGGAGATGGACTCTCCCTCACCATCGCTCTCTGGCTTCTGCTCTGGTGCGGCATCAATGAGCCCCCCCGGGAAAGTAGTATGTGTACGCCATACTCATTATGTACATACTGCAACAAACTTTCTCAAAGTAGTATGTGTACGCCATACTCATTATGTACATACTGCAACAAACTTTCTCAATGTAGTATGTGTACGCCATACTCATTATGTACATACTGCAACAAACTTTCTCAATGTAGTATGTGTACGCCATACTCATTATGTACATACTGCAACAAACTTTCTCAATGTATTATGTGTACGCCATACTCATTATGTACATACTGCAACAAACTTTCTCAATGTAGTATGTGTACGCCATACTCATTATGTACATACTGCAACAAACTTTCTCAATGTAGTATGTGTACGCCATACTCATTATGTACATACTGCAACAAACTTTCTCAATGTAGTATGTGTACGCCATACTCATTATGTACATACTGCAACAAACTTTCTCAATGTAGTATGTGTACGCTATACTCATTATGTACATACTACAACAAACTTTCTCAATGTAGTATGTGTACGCCATACTCATTATGTACATACTGCAACAAACTTTCTCAATGTAGTATGTGTACGCCATACTCATTATGTACATACTACAACAAACTTTCTCAATGTAGTATGTGTACGCTATACTCATTATGTACATACTGCAACAAACTTTCTCAATGTAGTATGTGTACGCCATACTCATTATGTACATACTGCAACAAACTTTCTCAATGTAGTATGTGTACGCCATACTCATTATGTACATACTGCAACAAACTTTCTCAATGTAGTATGTGTACGCCATACTCATTATGTACATACTGCAACAAACTTTCTCAATGTAGTATGTGTACGCCATACTCATTATGTACATACTGCAACAAACTTTCTCAATGTAGTATGTGTACGCTATACTCATTATGTACATACTGCAACAAACTTTCTCAATGTAGTATGTGTACGCCATACTCATTATGTACGTACTGCAACAAACTTTCTCAATGTAGTATGTGTACGCCATACTCATTATGTACATACTGCAACAAACTTTCTCAATGTAGTATGTGTACGCCATACTCATTATGTACATACTGCAACAAACTTTCTCAATGTAGTATGTGTACGCCATACTCATTATGTACGTACTGCAACAAACTTTCTCAATGTAGTATGTGTACGCTATACTCATTATGTACATACTGCAACAAACTTTCTCAATGTAGTATGTGTACGCTATACTCATTATGTACGTACTGCAACAAACTTTCTCAATGTAGTATGTGTACGCTATACTCATTATGTACGTACTGCAACAAACTTTCTCAATGTAGTATGTGTACGCTATACTCATTATGTACATACTGCAACAAACTTTCTCAATGTAGTATGTGTACGCCATACTCATTATGTACGTACTGCAACAAACTTTCTCAATGTAGTATGTGTACGCCATACTCATTATGTACATACTGCAACAAACTTTCTCAATGTAGTATGTGTACGCCATACTCATTATGTACATACTGCAACAAACTTTCTCAATGTAGTATGTGTACGCCATACTCATTATGTACATACTGCAACAAACTTTCTCAATGTAGTATGTGTACGCCATACTCATTATGTACATACTGCAACAAACTTTCTCAATGTAGTATGTGTACGCCATACTCATTATGTACATACTGCAACAAACTTTCTCAATGTAGTATGTGTACGCCATACTCATTATGTACATACTGCAACAAACTTTCTCAATGAAGTATGTGTACGCCATACTCATTATGTACATACTGCAACAAACTTTCTCAATGTAGTATGTGTACGCCATACTCATTATGTACATACTGCAACAAACTTTCTCAATGTAGTATGTGTACGCCATACTCATTATGTACATACTGCAACAAACTTTCTCAATGTAGTATGTGTACGCCATACTCATTATGTACATACTGCAACAAACTTTCTCAATGTAGTATGTGTACGCCATACTCATTATGTACATACTGCAACAAACTTTCTCAATGTAGTATGTGTACGCCATACTCATTATGTACATACTGCAACAAACTTTCTCAATGTAGTATGTGTACGCCATACTCATTATGTACATACTGCAACAAACTTTCTCAATGTAGTATGTGTACGCCATACTCATTATGTACATACTGCAACAAACTTTCTCAATGTAGTATGTGTACGCCATACTCATTATGTACATACTGCAACAAACTTTCTCAATGTAGTATGTGTACGCCATACTCATTATGTACATACTGCAACAAACTTTCTCAATGTAGTATGTGTACGCTATACTCATTATGTACATACTGCAACAAACTTTCTCAATGTAGTATGTGTACGCCATACTCATTATGTACATACTGCAACAAACTTTCTCAATGTAGTATGTGTACGCCATACTCATTATGTACATACTGCAACAAACTTTCTCAATGTAGTATGTGTACGCCATACTCATTATGTACATACTGCAACAAACTTTCTCAATGTAGTATGTGTATGCTATACTCATTATGTACATACTGCAACAAACTTTCTCAATGTAGTATGTGTACGCCATACTCATTATGTACATACTGCAACAAACTTTCTCAATGTAGTATGTGTACGCTATACTCATTATGTACATACTGCAACAAACTTTCTCAATGAGAGTTTGAGAAGCACTGGATCAGCAGGGACCGCTCAAAGTCTAAACCGTCATGCAAGACAAGATCGTCTGTAAAAATGTTGTTGCTAAAAAGTCAAGTGACATAATATCACATAAAGGAACAACTAACATGGATTGATTTCCTCCATTGGCTCTTGACTTGTAGTGAATATCCAGGCTCAACCTCTTGGTGGGACCACCCCATCTCTCCTGGTCCTGGACTGAATTCTCTTATTCATTGTCATCCATTACATCATCTATGGCAGTATTATTTGATAAGCATTTTGCTTCCATTGCTCACAAAATTTGGTATCTTAGAAAGTCTGTATCTCAGCAAAAAGATAATTGGTCTAGTTTTCTACAGCTCTTCTTCCATGAGTGGATGATATATCGCCTGTCACCTCTCCAACTATCAGGACAAAAGTAATGTTGTCATGAGGGGTGGGGATGCTCATAGCATGTCTCAACATAACAGGATTGATAATCAACATCTTCCCTGGGATTATCAACCTGATACTTTACATGGAAAATCCCATGCTGCTGAAACACAAAAACCTGACTTACACTCATCATCAAGTCACCCTGTCCACCTGACTTTGCTTATGGATCTCGATTACCGACTACCAGACTTCAGTATAACACCAACCGCGGTGTTACCTGTGGGAAAATTACCGTGGCCAGTGGGGAAGGTTCAGCCTAGGCCAGATCTTGACTCCAACCTTGGCCAGTTCTGTCACATCTTTGGCCAATTCTTCTCCACTGTGGTCAGACCTTCCCCAGGTGTTCATTCAATTGTCTTGACAAGGGAAAAGAGATTTTTGAGGCCAAGTCTCTCCCATCAGGATTTCTTCAGGAAAACTATATTTTATATAATTTTCATATTTTATTAAACTTTGTCTTCATCTATCTATTCATCTTCAAATATTTTAGATTTTGTTCCACAATGTTGAAAGGTTTCTATAATTATAGAATATGATTGGCAAGTGCTAGCGTCTATGCTTCAAGTGATTGCTTCTAAGCTTCAAGTGATATTCATGATGTTTCTGTAATGTTTTTGTATAATGTTAAAACTTCACTGAAAACGGAAAAAAAGGATGTAACTCAAGTAGAGGAGGAACTTACTAAAAACATGTGAATGTAGCATGGTTAGACGGAGGAATAATACTGCTGAGTAGGTCATGAAACATTGAGATTGTCAATAACTTAGTCCCCTCCTTGTATCTGACACATCACTTTTCGTCAAAACAGATACTGTACACCTTGAAATTTATGCGTTTCCAAATTAATACGACTGCTGACCCCAAGCAAAACTGCGACTAAATATCAATGCAACTCCCCCAACCCCATCCCTTGTGGAATGATACATATCCTTTTATTAGCGCTCAGTAGAGCACTTCCGTAAAAACAATAAACATTGTTTTCCTGAAAACAACATACAGTTTATATGTCTATTCTGTTGACTGGCATGAAGGAAGTTCAAAGGCA